ATTCTTCCATTGATTACTGTGGGAGTTGCTCCCATGAATTGCTCCTGTGTAAAGACTGTACCTCTTATGCAGCAATCCAACCATATAGTTAATAGCAAGATTCAAGGGAAATTACATTATTTAATACATTATTTAACATGGATTTCTTCAGCAAGCACAGTGGGAGCACCATCCTTTCTAAGAATTGATTAACTTATGCAAAGATTAATTATGTGTCAGTTTTTATTTCCCTACTCAGATAATTTCTTAATTTTAATTCTTCAAAGTTGCCACAAAGTTTAATTGAAAAGTTTTGACCATAGGAAACATATTGAAAAATTATCATACCTCATCATATAGTATTAACTGTTAAAGTTAATTGTGGCACAAAACAGAACATTGTTAAAGGAAAGTATTCAAGTTTCCATCTCTTTTGCATACATTGTAACTATGAAAGAAAAGCATTCATTTAATATGGACTTTCAAAACTTTTGAGTAGTAACAAAATATTCACTCAGCTATCTTCTGAAAAATGTATTTTGCTCAACGTATGCTTTGCAATGGTTTCTTATGAGAGTCTGACAATTTTGCAGAAAATTATACTGATATATTTTTGCCAATTATTGCCAGGTTTTTGTGGGGAAAAAGTCTTTTAACATTGATTGTGAAGAGGTACTTGGGAATGGCTCCACAATTAAGGTGTCTTTCCATCCCAATTGTATGATTCACTCTTTATGTAAAAGCTGAAGTACATCTTTCACTCAAGAAATAATATAAACCTTGATGACATGCTTGCTACATATCATGACAATATTAAAGGGATGATAAATTGGAATCATATACAAAAACAACTACCTGACAAAGTTTTACTGTATTATATAACTTATTTTAGACTAGTGGATCCCTTTTAAAAACCCAGTTGTTAAATAATACAAAAAGAAATACAAAAGCTTTTCTGTTATAGCATGATTCATTTTTACTCTATGATAGCATATTCTTTTGAATTAATAGAAGTTGAACATTTTCTTCGTAAGTATATATTTCATGTTTCTATTTGTATCTTTTCAAGACCAAAATGTGCATGGCAATCAATAAAATTTCCTTAGGCACCTCAAGACATTCACCTGCTCTGTGCCTTATCACTACCATTTTAGTGTATCCTACTCTTCAAATGTAGCAGTGAATTCCTTTATGAATAAGGAATAAGTTCTATAAATGTCATCCTGATCATCCTGATGGGAGCACTGTGAGTCCACAGTCACCCAGTAAGTTTCCATGATTTAAGGTGGAAAAGAAGCAGGTTCTCCGCAGTAGCAGTAAAGCACCTGAACAGCTACATCACACTGTTCTATGAAATCCATTTTGCTTCCAGAAAAATCTTGGACTTGGTTGTCTTTTCTCTTTTTTCCTTAGCTTGTCATTTACAAGTATTTACAAGTATTTTCAATTAAGAACCAGTGTTTCTAAATATAAATATACTTGAAATTGCTACCCATTCTTCTGGGCATTAGAGTGCTTCCTGATGGAAGATTCTGGAGGAAAAACATTGGGCAATTTAGTTACTTTAATTCAAATGACAGAGCAGTTGCAGCAATGTCTTGGACCACACCTGCCAATCTAAAGGTAGGTTAAAGGCTATAAAGTAACATTATTAGGTGATACAGTCTAAACAAAAAATGCTCTGCTTCCAGATTTCAGGATGCAAAATTATAGCATCATCA